GTGGGGATGATGGCCGTGCCGTTGGCCCGCTGCGCCGCACCCCTGCCCTGCCCCGCCGGGAACGGAGTGCCCGCCACCCCCTGCCGCCTATTCCACGGGCTCAGGCTGCAGGGACACCCCGCCCCTACAGGCAACAGGGTGCACAGGCACCCCACGGCCACTTATCGCCGGGTGTCGGGCTGCACAGCCACCCTGCACATGCATATTCCTGGTGTTGGGGTGCATGGCTGAACACGCAGCAACGCCCCTTGGTGTCAGGACACACAACCACTCCATGCTCACGGTGCCAGGTTGCACCCCTGCCCAACATCCATGTTTCCCCCACTGTCAGGGTGCATGGCTGTGCACACCAGCATCTTTCTACCTTCATGATGCATGGCTACACATGGATCCCAGCATGTGTGTGCACCCCTTGGGTGTAAGGGCACATATATTCATACTTCCCTTAGGAGCTGAGATGTGTGTACATATGCATGCAACCCCCAGGTTTCAGGGCACACGCACAGACACATCCATCAAGTTTTGGAGTGCAGACATTTGCGTGCCCACATGTCTGATGCATAAAGGGTCAGACACCTCCTGGGTGGCCAGGGTGCACGCACACATACACAGCTCTCAGATGTGCACACACGTGTCTTTGGGTATAGGAAGCACGCACACATGCTCCCTGGGTGTTGGAAACACAGATGCAGCCAAGCAGGGATGGATCTACACACATTTTTCTCTCCCTTTCTTTGAAATGGGGAAAGCTGCTGTCTCAAGCCTCAGAATGGGCAGCAGTCCCTGTGCAAGACTAAGGGCATCACTGCAAGCAGCTGTTTAAAACAGGCGCAGGAAGAGTTGTGGAGGATATGTGGGTTTCAAATAAACTTTGACATCTGTTAGACCACGGATCAAAAACTTAACAATTATAGAGAAGTTGTTTTTCTTTCTCTTCCAGCAGACATGGGTTTCTACAAAATCTAAATATTTGACTTGATGTCTCCCAGCCAGTTTATATTTTGTGCTAAAGCAGAAGCTAAGTGGGGTAGAAGTGTTCTCACCATCGGTTCTAATCTAAGGAAGCTATATAGTGTGTTCACCCACTGTGAACTTTTGTGTTCACAGCCCAGTCTTTGTAGCAAGAAAGCTAAGCCCATAGGTAACATTTGTAGGCTAAGAACTCGCTAGCGAAGTCAAGCAGTGCCTTAAAGAGTGCATGGAAACTCTTTAATAAGTATTGTTCCCAGAAAATAAATTGCTAAGTGTGATGGTAATACCATATAGCATGTCTATGTGTATATTCACATTGTCATTAGTGGTATTTGGGTTTTGGAACAATTTGGATCCAATATCTGTTTTACTTGGAACAGGTAGTATAATATTGTGGGGCGTAATGTTAACAAGTTAGTTAAAAGTAGTCTTTTGGATGATGGATTAGTTTTGAACTAATTTGTGGTTGATGCTTACAACTAGCAGTCCAAAGACATGAATTTAGTCCCTACTCTTCCAGAGCTAATCTTGGGTACATATTACCCAAACAAGTGAACCAGTAATCAGTTCAGGGCTTCTTGATTTGTGGGTATCTAGATTGACACCAGTAGTGTAGGACTTCTCTAAGAATATGGATTAAAAATAAGGCCTTAGCATCTCAGATTGGGTGCACTGCCTATCTGTTTTAATAAACTTCAGCTGTTACCATTCTTTATTATAAGTAAAGTGTATATTTAGATGGATATTCATGATTTGTTAGTCATTGTTCATGAGGAACTTTACAATTGCTGGGTGAAAGATTTTACATAAATGTAAAGTATTACGCATTTCATTGTATCGAAAATTAAATATTCCTTCATTTTTAGGTGCAGTTTAACATTCAAGTCATGAGACTCCTAATAGCAAAGGAATTTGCTTTTCAGTATTATCCCTGTAACTCCAGCTTACTCTTGCTGCTGATAAAGGTGGTTCACAAAAAAGCAACATGATTATTTGTCTCTTTCAAAGTTTGCTGCAAACAATAATCCTCATAGAGGAAGGTTCTAAATATTAGTTTGATAACTCTATTTGATAAATAGGAGGAAATGGCAATAGTTTACAGATCTGAGTTGCAAAAATGAATACTGCATGACAGGGCTTGAGTTCTGTTTCCTAGAGCCCTGTTTGCTGTCCAGTGAGCATTAGTGCTTACTTTAAGGAAGCTTTTTAAAACAACTTGGATTCATTAGATGGTGTTTACCCCCTATCATCTGGGGCAGCTTGTGTTCCTGTGATACCTGATGTAGGTGTGATAACACAACTGCAGTCACCTGTGCCTCACCTCCTCCAGCTGAGATCAGATACCTCTACTCCAGGCAGCTGCTACCCTCTATTCTAGCAACAGCCTCATGGCGGAGTGCCCTTTTAAATGCTTGTACTGAGGAATAGCTGCTTAGCTTTCAGCACACTTAACGTGTTTGTGTGTTTGCCTTGGGCTAAAGAAGGCACTACTTTCAATATAATACACAAATAAGGTATTTACCAATTACTTCTTAACATTGAAGGTTCTCTCAGCTGCAGTTGTTCTTTTGATTGTTAGTATTTCGCTGCTATGAAATGCTTTTCCTTTCCTCCATCTTGCTTCCACAGAGTGAACCAGTTAATTATGTTATTTTCAGACATTGGGGCTAAAAGGTTGCTTATTGAAAAACACTGCTAGTGTGAACTACTTTTGTGTGATACAGACAGGCGTGTTCATGAAGATACTTTTCACAAAGGAAGTTGAGATTTTCTTCCCTGATTTTTTTTCCTTGAATGACTGTCACAAACTTTTGATATCTGGAAGACAGCTTTATAGCTGAAAATTGATAGTTTTCTTCTGGATCTCCTAGTCAGTAATTAAGGGTGAAAAGTTGACTTCTGAGGCAGGAAAAGGTTTACATTTCCAGCTGTAGTGCCACATTTTTAGTACGTCAGAAATGTTTTAGTATTTCAGAGAAACCCCATATCAAAAAGAGGTAAACTGAAGGAATTGCTGCTTATGAGAAAGAAATAAAAACATTTGAGCTTGTGGTCCACTGAACCTTGTAGACAGTCAGTTAAATACATAAGCTTTCTTGTACTTCTGCACAGTTTTTGGTGAGTCTTACCTGGGGTTGGGGGGGGTCTTACCTGGAAAAGAGAAGAATAATTCCTTTAACACATCATTTTATAAAAGTGCAGTTATTAGTTGTAATGTTTTGTGGACTCTGTGGTGTAAAGGGAAGTGATATTATTTTGGAAGTGTACTTGCAGAAACTGCATAAAGATTAGATAAAAAGAGACAGTGAAGTTCTTCTGTTTCAAAGAAAGGGAAATCATGAATGTTGTACAAAGAATGTGGATCTGTATCCTTACATACTATAGTTGCCAGAATTTGGAATTGAAATATTTGCAGGCTGTTTGTTTCCTGCCACTCTTCCCCCCCCCCCCCCCCTTGCTCTCCCCCCCCCCCCCCCCCCCCCCCCCCCCCCAAATTAGGCTTTCATTATGTTTTTTCTCTTGAAAGATGCACCATTAAACTTTTCCTTTTTTAGAGCTATATTTAAGCAACATAGGAACATATGGCGGTTACTTTCCTATTTACACTGCACAAATTTTTCCTTATGCACACTGTCTTTTTGCTCTTTTTCACTCTTGCCTGTGTACGTAAGGACAGACCCAGCCTTCTTGAGCAAAGCCACTTATTAAAAAGGAGATAAATAGGCAGAAAAGCAGCTATCCACCCATTCCCCTTCATGTGCGCAAAGGATGAAAGTGTGTAGTGTATGGTTAACTGTTCCGTTCTGTATCTGCTAAAATGGTTTGTGAGAGAGTAGATCTTAGTGGGAAGAGAACCACCTTTACCTTGCTAGGAAGTGGCTCAGTGGAAAGTTTTAGTAACAGACATTATATGTAACTGTGTATTATGATACTGTTTGCATTCAACTTGATTGTGCCTATCTGCCCTGCATTGTGGGCATTTTCAATTCACGCTCAGTGACAGTATACTGTACTTGTTAACGTGTAGGGGGCTGGTTTCTTCAGCTAGCAGACCTCGTGAAGACAGTTGGTTAAAATCGCTGTTTGTTCGCAAAGTTGATCCAAGGAAAGATGCTCACTCCAACCTTCTAGCCAAAAGAGAGACCAGCAGTCTGTATAAACTACAGAGTGAGTGATATTTTTATATTTAACATTACCATTTCTTTATTCTGTTTCTGCATTTCTCACATAATGTTGTTATTTCAGTTCACAATGTAAAACCAGAGTGTCTGGAGGCCTACAACAAGATTTGGTAAGTGTGCGTATTATGTTTTCACATTTTAGACATGTTGGTTTGATCACAAGTTGTTCTGAAAATTGGCAAATATTGTAATTACTTAGGAGGTGAAAAAATTCTGCTTTTACTTTCAGGGTATGGTGTTCAATAGATCATACTATTCTTGGAGAGAGATATGATAAAAGATACTTTACTCAGTTCACCCCCTGCCTTCCCTTCTTGGGGGTGTCATTTTCCTAAGCTACATCTTAGGACAATGCCTTTTGTCAAAACATTGATGATATTTGTTGGAACAGCTCTCCCCCTTCCCTTAGTTGTCTTACAATTGCTGGTCCCTGCGGGTAGATCCTGGTATGGTAGCATGTCCCACTGCAGCTGCCATGTAGGAATATGTTGAGGGTTGTTATCGTCTGCATACAGGAAGGAAAGGGGGAGATCACCAGTAAGTAGAACTACATGCCACTATTAAAGTATAACTTTGAGGAGATTTTGAAAACCCAGGGGCTGACTTTCAGCTCATCGATCTCCTACTTCTACAAAAGTGATGTTATTGAGATCTCCTCTTAAAGAGCTATGGAAATCCTTGAATACAATCTGTGCACTGGGGTGATATCCTCCAAAGGGAGCGGTACTGTTATGAATTTTCCAAAAAGTTACAGCTTTATAAAATGTATGTATAGTAACGTTCAAAATTTACTAGTTAAGGATGAAATTGCAGATATATTAGTCCTATTCTGCCTACATAATCACTCCTCTGGAGCCAGAACAACTGCCTTTTCAAGAACTGAATGTTTAAATTTGGAAATGTCGTGAGCCTCACCTGTTTTGAAACGGCAAGGCTTTCTCACTGACCATGATCATATTGTCAGTTAAATGAAACATTCTTAGCATAATGATACCCTACTGCAACCAATTTTTAAAGTGTGGTGTATTGGTGACAACACCAGACGGGCTGGAGGGTGGGGAGGAAGTTCTCAACTCCCTGTTTATGTCCTTATCTCTGTTATTGGTTTGCTGTACAGCCACAAGTAGGTCATCTAGCATCTCTCTGCCTTCATGTGTTCAGCTTTGAAATGGGGCTGGATAACCCAAAACTGTTTTCCTTGCTATAGAAACAGAAATCCATTAGAATAACATTCAATCATAAGGTATTTTAACTTTTTTGTTTAAAAAAATGTATATACACAGAGAAGCACAATTAGCATTCAACCAGCTTTCTGTTTAAAAGCTCAATATAAACATGTCCAATTATACAAGACAGGGAACCATTTCTCCGCCTTATCTCATGAGCTACCTAAATGCTGAGTGAAAGCAGAAGCTTTTATTATCAAGGAGACAGTAGCAAAGAAAGAAACTGCTGAGAGCAATTAGATGAAGTATGTATGGTTAGATTTATTCTTTCCAAACCAAAGCCAGTTTTAAGTATTGCAAGGAAGGAGAAAAGAATGGAGTAATAAAAAAAAAAAAAAAATCTAAGATACTCTGCACTTCCCTTCTTCCTCTCCCTAAATTAAATATGAACAGGTTAATTCCTTATTCTGTATCAAATCAGAATAAGGATTAGTCATCATGTATTAATAAAGAACTGATGTAATGAAGACAATTATAAGAGTTCTTCATGAATCACTGTGGTTAAAGACCCCTTCTGAAGAATTAGAAACAGTTATTTTTTAAAAAGAAAAAGATGGTGTTCATATCTATGAATGATAAGGTATTCTGTGGGGGGGTGTTCTATAATTTGCAACAAAAATATATTTTAGGATTATTGTAATAATTTAACATTCCTGTTTAAAGCTGCTTTTCTAGGATCTCATTATGCTTTGCAAAAACAAACCAATGGTGAAACATCCTTGAAAACATCCTTGGAGAGTCATTCTATCATATTATTTATGCTATGTAGTGAGAAATTGTGGGGTACAAATTGGTAATGAGATTTGCTCAAAGTTGTGTAGAAAGTCAGTGGCAGAATCAAGAGCAAAACTCGTATCTAATGACTCGCAGCCCAAGACCAGTCTACTTTCTGTTATTTGATATTGTGCAGAGACTCATTGCCTATAAGCCAAACTGATTAAGAGGGGTAATTATTCAGGGAAAAATATTAAAAGGCAAAGTTCAACTAGACTAATTGACTTATTCATCAAAGTACAGTGCGATGAAAGCTGTCTTAACCAAGTCAGCAATTGGTAAAACTTAATTTCCTAATGCTAATGTAGGCCACCTTTAAAGTTTGAAAAAATATTAGAAATAGTGAAATAGAAATTCTGTGTTGGAAGTATTTTTAGGGCAGTTTTACTGTGTGTTTTAATGAATAAGTTACCTCAAACTATACTTTCTGAAATGGTAGAAAGCAATAAGGCTGCATACTATGAAGTACAGTCATCAGCTGATCTATCAAAATACTTGGTTTTATTCATTCAGCTTAACAGAATTAATAGCATTGTAACTGGTAGAGAAGACTGTCCTTTCCTATTTTTGTGTATTCTACCTCCCTTGATAAAGAAAAGCTTTTCCTAAAGCAGATCACCCGTGTAGTTAGGGTGCATTTTCTGTAAGTGAGACATCCTGATATTTATTTTCCTAATGCGTTGGATAACTTTTTAGGTGATAGACGTAACTTACTGCATCGAAAGAATTCTGCCATGCTGTGTATTTGCCATACAGTCTAAGAAATGGTAACACTTACCTTAATTTTTCTTAGTGTTGTAGCTATCTTTCCCCTGTATAGCAGATTTTTGTATTTCAGCTTTCTCTTCTGAAAAGTAGAGCTTGTGAATTTTCATACCATAATGATAAACGTGTGGTGATTTGTTATACATATCAACTGTAGCCTCCCTAAAGGAAATGCAACATAGTGTCTGTATTCCTTGTTTTCAAGTCAAGAGGTGCTGCCAAAGATTCATGAAGAAAAACACTACCCATGTGCACTGGTGGGGACTTGGAACACGTGGTACGGAGAGCAAGATCAGGCTGGTAGGAGATAGAAGTACAACAGAATGTAAAACCATACAAGTGAAACGTGTGCTTGGCAGGTTTCTTCTCTTTAAATCATCTCTGTTGACAGTAAACCTTTAGCAATGTATACAGTGAGGGTGTGTGTGCATCAATTATCAGTAGCCATATTAACATTTACAGTGCTTGCTTTTTGTCTTGTTGAGTTTGACAGTGAAGCATTAATTCCTAAAATTTGTCCTGTTGTTAATACACTTTCATGTTTTCCAGGTGGTAGATTAACAGTTTTAGGAAAAGCTTGTAAAATGTGGTCCTGTAATATTTTGCAGGCACATATCATGTTTGTGAATATTTAGGGTAAAGGCAAAGGCTTACAAAGACAGTTTATCTTGCATTGGCCGGTATCAAAGCTCTACTCAGACTTTCATACTTCAATTGCTGTATGATAATGAAATGCAAATCATTCACGCCATCTGAAAAAAATGATTGCATTGTAAACTCAACAATAAGCTAGGCCTTTACTGGAGGAAAGTAAAATTATTTCTGTTCATGTTCATATAAAGATACTGCCTAACTATGCAGATTCAAAATATACTGGAACTAGGAATTACTGAAGAGCTGCTACAGAGGTGAACTACGAAGAGTCTAGTGCAGAGAGAAAACCTGAAAAAATTCCTAGTCTCTGGGAAATTGAAGGAATGGGAAGCCATGGGAAGCCAGAGTGGTGTACTGATACTTGTTATGTAGTTTGTTATGTAGCTCCACTGTTAGAGCTATGCTAGTATCAATGTCATTGCTTTCTTATTAAAAAATATACTCATGTACACATCAGTTTTTCCCGCATTCACAGCATATTGCAATATTGACACTGAACAAATGCAAAGAAATAACAGTAGATAAACCAATGTCTGAAAAACAATTCTAAAAGTTGAAGGCAAATTGAGGAATGAAGACAACTGAAATGAGAATATCTTAGCCAAGAGTCATTCGTTGCTTTTGTAATGTATTAACACAGACTGTATCTGTAATTGCATCCATAGCCTGCCTTGAAAATGTTACTGCAACAGTTCTAGCAGCGTAATAAAGCAGATTATGGAGTTTTGACTTGTTCAATACTTGTGCCCAGCCTGTGTTAATATTAGCTGGATATATCAAATTTGCCCTGGGGTTAAGACAGCAGAAGCAGGCGCACTGGATGAATCTGCTATCATAGTGAAGTGCCTTACATTAGTCTCCAGTTCGCTCTCCTGGAAAAGGCACAGGACTGCTTTAGAGGAGAGAAAATAGCTTTTGTGAGTCTTTGAGGTGAAATATTGTTGCCTTGCTATATTAAGTGCTTGTAAATAAATTTTGCTATGATTTATTAAAGGGATTTATTATGATTTATTAAAGAGAGAATGCTTTGAAAAACCTCAGATGTAGATACTTGTTCTGAAATTGTTTTTATGGGGAAAATCCTAGCAAATGTAACAATTGTAGCATGTTCAGATATCTTCTGCTTTTTTAATGTAATATTTACCTCAAAATAACATTTGCATCATTTTTCATATCTTACAGAAAATGTGTTGCTCTTTGTGCTTGAGTAATTTACTGAACTAAAAAGTCTAGCCCTCTATTGCTTTTAGATTAAATTGGTATAAAATACATTTTTTTAATGAAGTCATGCTCTTAAATTGAATTTCAGTTTCAACTACAGTGATGTAAAGTCATCGCATCTTACTAGCATGGCAACAAAAAGTCCTTTCAGAAATTTCCCTGTTACCTTCAGAGTAGATTGCAAAATTTTCAAAAAAAACCCCCTTTTCAAAAAGCAGATGATTCCATTATTCTGAAAATGCTCGTGTGTAGTGCTTTGTTTATTGAAAATCTCTTTTAAACCTGTCACATGATTTCTAGTTTTGTATAATACTGTAGTATGAAGAGCATTTTATACTGTGTTATTCCGTAAGATTTAGCACTGGTCTGTGACATCCCTGAAAAAACTTCCTTTTTTCTGTTTCAGTTCATCTGTGGAGATATGAGGGAGGCTATCCAGCCCTCAATGAGGTCATGAGTAAACTCCGTCAAAATAAGGTAAAATGCATCAATTTTGTTAGAATTGGTTATTTTCCTCAGAGGATAACAAAGAATACGCAGAGCAAAAACCAGCATATTTGGATACCCGCTTTTACTTCAATATCTCAGTGTTTCTTGTACAAACTTAGAAAGCTCTTTGGAAAAGGGTTTATACTCATATTCAGAAATACTGGGGTTTAATACCTGAATACTTTATGAAACACACTTAGTGCTGTGTAAAAGTGCCAGTCGAAAGTTTCAAATATGCCAGGGGAATTTAGATGCCTTTACAATTTAAAGGATTTCAATGTCCCCAAACCCCAGGATAGTATTAAAAAACCAAAAAATCTAAATGACTGTGTGGTATACTGCTTTTTGTTGTTGAAACATAATACACAGTTTGACAGTTACCACATTGTTTTTTTAGGAATTCACAGAGTTTCGCAAAGAAAGAGGTAACATGCTTCTCTCACGCAAGAACCAATTATTGTTGGAGTTTAGTTTCTGGAATGAACCTGTTCCCAGAGAGGGGCCTAATATTTATGAACTGAGATCCTATCAACTTAGAGTAAGTTTAAATTTTTATTTTTTAAGCTCTATGCTGTCGTAAAATGTTCAAAGCATGTTTATACAACGTAGATGGAAAACAGACCTCATCTTAAAAATCTGGTTCTTATCAAAGCTGATGTCTGAGTCATTGTTGCTCTCAAAGTGTGGGATACAAAATGAAGGCAGGCTCCAACAAGATACTAATATCTGCAGGGCTGAAACCCCTGTGTTTTCATTTGAAGGAAACTTCAGGCAAATGACTAAGAAGTAATACAGTAAGTAAACAGAGTAATTACAGATGGTTATAATATGCTTATCACTTAAAGGAAGCGATCTTGTTAATAAAAAGTGTTTTCCATACATAAATGTTGTGAAAACTGTTCAAATATTCTAACTTTCTTTAAACTACAGTTTTAACAGTCTGTTTTGTTTTTGTAGCCTGGAACAATGATCGAGTGGGGAAATTACTGGTAAGTGTTGCTTTAGCACTTGTGTTCTCCTATTTGAGAGATGTATGTTTAAAAACCTTGAAGGGGAGGTGGCAGAATGGTACAAAAGCATTTCAGTCACCCAGTTAATGGCCTGCTTCTGTACTTATGCAACTTGTAAGATAGTTCTTTGACCTCTTATTTATCCTTTGAGGAAAGAAAGAGGAATTCCGTGTGCAGACAATATTGTGGGCTCTGTGGTTTGGCTTTCCTTCACATAACCCTTTTAGTTTGATGTAATACAGCAGAAAACCTTTCTTTTCCGCAGAAAGCACTGCTCAGTGAAGGGTGGTGGTTAACTCCATGAGACTATGTTGATCTCTCACAACTTTCACAAGACCACTGGAAGCTGACTTACTTTTAGTTTAAATGGCTAAGTCTTTGCTCTTTTAGTCTTCAAAAATCAGTTGCTGCTAGAAGACCTATTGAGCAGCACATTTGTATTTTAATATATGGGTTAAAAGCATTTGAGTCAGTCTTGAGTATATGCTTCTGACTTTGTTTTATTTAAAACCAGTGTAAGTTTCTTTCAGTTTACATTCACTAAGTCCATGCAGCTCTAATGGTTGATAGTTAAATAATTTGGAGTATTTTCAATTGTTGTGACAAAGGTGAGGACTTGGATTGTTAGATGTGTCATTGCCATCAATATAATTTATTTAATTACAGTAATGTGAATAAATTGAATTTAGATTTTTTTATAAAATAGGTCTATCTATAGTGGTAGCCAGTCTGTTTTAGAAATTGCAATGGATTTATACTTACACAACAAATCATGGAGTGTTGCACAGGACAGCTGCAAAGGAAGGGTCCATATGAATAAAAAAAGCTGTGTTCCACTACCAAAAATCTATGGTAAGTGAGTGTGTCAAAGATGATATGGCTGAAACTCAAGGATTTAATTTCAGAAGAACCTGCTATAAAAATGTCCTGCCGCTTTACACTGTTCCAGCAGATATTGTCATACTGGATCTAATGTTGAAGACAAATAATGATTAATGCACAGTCTAGTGAAACTGTAAGCCTCCAATTTTAACTCATTCTAACAAGATATGTAGGTATATTTTAATTAATTAGTGTATTGTGGATTGCTTTCTCATTTTTAATTACCGAAGTGTACTGCAAATGTTGTTTAACATTTGGGTTTCCTGGCAATTCTGCTTTCCTTTCAGTTATCACTTATTTTCTACCCAGATCTGCTGTTTTTAAATGCTACTTTGCTTTTTTGTAGGGCTCGTGCAATTCGTTTCCGACAGGATAATAATGAAGCAGTTGGAGGATTTTTCTCACAAATTGGGCAGCTGTATATGGTTCATCACCTCTGGGGTAAATTTGTTTGTGTTCTCTGTTTTTTTTTCTTACTGAACCAGCCCCTACCAGACTGTTGACTTTGCCCAGGGGACAAGGTTTTTACAAAAGGCAAAGGAATATCTTAAGAGACTTTTTTTGTTTTACACCAGCAATGTTCATTTTCTTAATCCCTGCATAGGTAACTTTATTTCTCAAACAAGCAGGCAGAAGTGAACATTTCATGTTTTGTTCTGTTTCCATCAACAGTTTCTCATGGCTCGCTCTTTATTAGGGACTACTTGTTTGCTTTCAGTAACATGATCATGACAAGCCATGTCCTGCTATCTCTTTCCTCCATCCCCATTCATGGTGAAGTCAAGTTTTTACAGTTTAGTTTCACGCATCACATATACCACACCTACAAAAAGGAAAGTGAAGCATTTATTTACGTTACTACATCACGGTGTTTTGGCTTTATCTGTGTGTTAGCCTCCACAAATGCTTACTTTTCACGTTAGGATTGTTTCGATTTGCAGAAACTCATCATCTAATATTTATTTTAGAAAATATGCAGTATTATCTTCATATCTCAACAATTCAGAATACTATATTCCAGCATTAGAATTCTGACAGCACTCATGTAGAACTGTACTCTGTTGCATTATCTGTCTTACCTGCGTCTAAGACATTCTCTGTCTTCCCCAGTTCCTTCTGTTTGCCATTGGTTTGGGAGCTTTTCCTTTTTGTAGAGAAGAACTTCTGACTTTTTTCCTTCCCAGTGTTCGCAGCCTCCTAATTACGCACTAGAATACTTTTAAGGAAGCTATTCACATACAGAAGGAAAAGAGGTTGCCTTTAAGCTTTCTGCTTGTTCTTTTTCCTCACCAGCTTACAAAGATCTACAAACCAGAGAAGATATAAGGAACGCTGCATGGCATAAACCTGGCTGGGATGAACTAGTCTATTACACAGGTAACCTATTAACTTCATTGGAATGCTGGAGGTAGACTTTTGTGCATGCCATCTTTTTTGTTCTTCACTACATTGCACAGTGATAAAAAGTTTTCTGTCTCTGGTGTGTCTGTGTGTCGGTTTTCCTACTGTAAGGGAAAGGAAGGATATTTCACTAAGCTGTAAAGTGAGTTTTGCAATTGGTTGTACAAAATTGGAAAAGTTGCCTAATTGCTGAAAAATTGCTACATTAATAGTAAATTTTTATACAAGCACCTCTCCTGTAGAAGAATAGATTTGTGTAAATGCTTAAGTTTGTGCCCAAAACTTTAGGGAGCCAATAGTGAAATTTGTCTTTGTATTAAATTATTACCTCTAATATTTCATGAAATACGGGAGCCTTGTTAAATGCATTCCTTTGAAAAGGGAATTTAGACTTTGGAACTAGAAGCCAGGAAATCTTTGAGATCAAAGATAACTTTCATAACAAAACTCACAAAAGTATGCTAAGCATGTCAGATTTTGGTTCCATAGGGTATGTTTCAAAGGAACTATACCAGAAAAAATGTGAGGTAATTTTCATTATGATGAAAAGGAATAGGAATATTTATCTTCAAAGGGGCAGACAGATTATATTAAAAATCACTTGTTCTCAAAACTACTGTGCTTCAGTTACAGGAATGTTGGTGGTTACTGATGACTTGGCATGCACTAGCTAGGAGAGTAATTTGAAGATAATAATATCTGTTCAAACTGAGTGTGCAGAACAGCTAATGATCTCTGTTGGTGAAATTAAACCCTGTCTCAATTTTTTTCAGTGCCCCTTATTCAGGAAATGGAGTCCAGAATCATGATACCGTTGAAGATTTCTCCGCTTCAGTAAAGTCACTGATTTACTTGTGCCTACATAGATAAAGTTACAAGTATTTGTCTTAAATTAATTTATGGTATACATTGTATATCATAGTCTGAAATACACAAGTACTGTATTGAGCTTATAAAAGAGACCTCTTTTCTTCAGAATCTAATGACCTTTTGCTCTTAGGATTGTACCAGGAAAAAAAAGAAATATAGGACTGTAATTAAAAGGTTGGTTAATTGTAAACAACTACAAAGACGTACACGAGTTCCTCTGTGAGACGGCTCCTCTGGTTAAGTATGGCGTACAGTATTTAATATCTTCTGCTACATAGGCAATGCCCAGTGTTCAGTAACAGCAACAGAATGGAGCATTACAGTTGCTGTGGCCTTTGTGTAGCATTGTAATGACTGCAGATTTTAAAAACAAACGTGGGAGTTCTGAAATTAGAAGCTCTGAAGCCCTCAGGCAGTTCTGAAATACACCTGGCTTTTCTAGCAGGCCTGAAATCAGTAAGTAGCTCTAGGCAGTCATTAATTGAGGATAACATGGTTTGTGAGGTGATAGCTTATGGACAGAAGATAGGGCATTCTGTTTTGCAAGGACTCTGAAGCCTGTTGAAACTAACCACACGTTAGTGTAGATGTCTACACCTGAAATTAATTTTTTGAAGTATGACCTACAGTTTTCAAAGAGATACTGAGAAGACGTGATTGCCTGAACTTTCTGCAGGGAATCAAGTTCAGTTAAATACGTTTATCTCTACAACGAACTTGGAAGTCTAGGAAAAGGGGTTTAATTTAATAAGCAATCATGACTTCAGACATATGCTTGGTCGGGTGTTTCACTAACTGTACAGTAGGTACTTATGAATTGATGTGTGAAACTGGCGCATGTTGAGTCAATAGGATTGGCATAAAGCGGTGTACCATTATGTCCAGTTCTATTTTGGTTTCACTTTTAGACTAGAATATATCAACACTTTTGGTGTCTGCAATGATGTGAACATCCTGTAAGTGAAAAAAAAAAATTCTCTCTCTAAAGTGGCTACAAGAATCAGTGTAACACACAGAACGTACAAATCAGTTACTGAATGTTCAGTTTGTACATTTCAATAAGTTTTCAGGAAGAACGTATCAGCCAATAAAATCCTTTTAATTTTCACATTTTACTGGCACCTTATATGTATTGCACCACCTGTGTTTTCTCTTCTCTTTGTCTCATCATGCAGTGTTTATTATGGAAATTTTGTGTAACTGCATAGAGTATTTCAGCTTAGTTAGCCAGTATCACGCCTCTGTGTCAGGGACAGCATTTCCCAGTATTCTGCTCTCCTTTGCCAAAATGAATTTACAATATCTCCATTGCATCCCATTTTGCTAAGTGTTCTAGAGGTCAGAAGTGCTGTGGTGATTAATAGAAAATATTTTTCCTTTCGATTTTTCTCCACAAATTATACTGAATTTTTCAGGTCTGATTTCTTCTTTTCTTCCCATGCGAAATACACAGCACTCTTGCCTTCACTTGAATTTCATCTTGAAAAAAGTCAATATTTGATCTGATTCTTGTCCATTTTCATATTTTCCTCCTGTTGTCAACTGATGATGGGATTTTACTGCATAAAATTCTGTACTGTATTAGCTTAAAGTTCTCAGCTTGGCTTACTCAGTGGGCGTCACTTTAGCTGTTCCTTCTTATAAATCAGTCATGAGCAGTACTATCATCTGGGACTGTCCTTTTCCCAGACTTTTGGGACTACTGTTTAGCTGCAAAAGGAGAAAAAAAGGGTGACAATACTGGCTTCCAGTCTTTGTTATTTCTCCCAGTATCCTCCCACATTTTGTGTTCCTAGAGAATTGTCCTTGTAACTTACCACTCATAACCAGCAATCTCAGTCAGAGACAATATATTAATTTGCATGAATAAGAAATCTAAGGAATAACTGGATGTTCTGCGGGGTGACATCATACGGCACAAGTCTCTTCAGTCTTGATACACTACCTAAGATCTGAATTCCCACTAGTGTTGTTGTCATGTATTATGAATGTGCCTCCTGTTGATCTGAGCTTCAAACTCGTGCTCTGGCTGTCATCAGAGAGGGATTAGTTCCTGTTATTTTAGTTACAGATAACTATGTAAACTCACCCAACATAACACAGTAGATAAGTAAGTAATGCCAATCTTCTTGCCTCCCTTTGCCTGAGCCCTTTCTAAAGATGGTTTTCCCCTGAAAGTTGAATACTGTTGTGATTTTTCCCTCTTAATTTCATGGCCAAGTCTGCCTTCTTCCTTAGTATTTCGTTGCTAGCAATACTTCAGTATTTCTTAGAGCAGAATTTGTAGAGTTCAGAACTGAAGTCACTTTCTAGTGGTTGGAAAGTGGGGAACAATGCCTGGAAGGGTCTCTGGTCAATTCTTGTTCCACTGAATGAAGACACAGTTAAAACTTGTTTAGTTGTCCAGTAGTCTTCCTAGAAAGATCTGCAAACCGTTCTTTTAAGAAGTCCCCTTATGCAAATTGAATATATAACTTAAAGCAATTCTGCCTCACTGAATAATCTTATTAAAATAAAAGGCTTTTTATGGAGCGGTGTGCCTCCCCATGCTCTTAGCCAGGAGACCGACCTGAAGACAAGATACTACTTGCCTGATGTGCTACTCCAGATTTTGCTCTACTGTGATGGGATATGTTCACGTAAATGGGTAGCTTAGTTGTAAAATTGAAACTTCCCTCTTTCAAAAAATTGAAAATTTTTTATTCCCTCCTATTTTTTCCCCAGTATTTTACAGACAAAAGAGCTTAGCTACCCACTAAGCTAAGTAATCCTTTTGGTACCTCCTGGACTAGAGGTCAGGCTTGATATTTGCCCAGTGGAAGGGGGGTGGGTTTTTTTTGGTTTTTTTTTCAAACCAGTCAGACCTAAAGAGCTCTTGTGAAATCATTGGCGCAACGCCATGTTTCCATAGCACTCAGACTGGCAGAAGATACTGCTGTGAATGTTAACATCTCTGTGGCCTGGAGCCTCCTGCAGGGTCTTCTGACTGTGGCATTGCTGAAATTACATATACTTGAAGTGAATCCTGTCACTATGTTTGGAGGATCAGGGCCTGTAGCTATAGCTGATTAGCTGGATGTTAGATTTTTTTTTTGGTGGCCTTTTAATTCAATAGAAAACTGCAGCAAACACACACTTGTCTTTTGCTTCATAACTGTAGAATTGCAGAGGAACACATTGAATGAGAGCAGAAAGAGTTTATACTTGCTCTACTCATGCAGTCTTGACTAAACAAAAGCATGATTGTACATGAGCTGCCCTTGGAGTTGGCTGAGATTTTTCTCAGGAAGAATTTAAAAGAGATCATGCTCCCAGAAGACTTCTGGTGAGCAGCCTGCCAACTATTGTCTGTCTTAGCTTTTGTGGAGTTTTTTAAAGTCTGTATACAGATACTCAGTATAGCTGTTTATATGTCTTTTCTCTAAAAAGCCATCAGAAATTTGTTTCTGGATTTGGTTTCTTTTAACCATTCTACTTTGCTAGTGTTCACGTGCTGTTGAAACGTCAAGCAATTAGTGCCTCAGGTTTTTGCCAAAAACATGAGATGGCATCACTGAGAGCTGCCATTCAGCACTCTAGGGCTTTGTTAATGCCTCTTTCCCCCATACCCTTTCTGATGATGTTGCAGAATGGACAGAACCAGTATTTGTTTTAATTGTTGGTGATGGTTAAACAATTGGACAGGAGCTCTCTGGCTGCACCTTCATTTAATCTTCTTAAGTGCAAGTTGTGAAAACCTGTGATTATCTTGTGGGGAGAGTGTCAGATTTTGGAAGGTAGGCACATCACTTTATCCTCCTTTCTATGAAATATGTGATGGGATGAAAGAGAATTAGCACACTTAGCCTAATCTTCAGTTTCCGGAAAAATATTGGGACTATTTGTAAGCACCCAAAAGATAAGAGCCTGCATAGATTTTTATTTTTTTTCCAGGACAAATCATGTCATATCAACCCATCTTTCTCCTGTGATGGTATTAGGTGAATGGAAGGAAATGGAAGATGTGACATGTATTTTAACATTGGTAAAGCTTTTCACATTATCAGAGGTGACAGTCTTAGAAGTCAGGGAAATAGAAGTACCATGATGTGTCAGCAAAGCTGGTTAAAGGCCTTCGCAGAGGAGTTGTCAGGAACTTGCTGGCAAAAAGGCAGCATTTATCTTAAGTGTGTTCTGTATAAGGATGCTCTTGGATCAGACACTGCAGCCACAAAAGACAAATCCTTAAGAAAGTGGGATTCATTAGCCGAAGCTCAGAGAAATCCTTCCTTAGAACAGGTTAGACTTACTTCTAGCACAAACAGTTTAAGAGTGGTTGATCCACACTTGAGGCAGAGGAAGAGACTAGGTAAGTTTCACAGTATTTTCTTAATCAGTAGACCATTTTTTTAAAGGTTGATGAATTAGCTTTCGTCCAGTTATAGGTTGATGGGGGGGGATTGTTAAATAAATAGAACAGTTAAGTAAACAGTGTGACCATTTTACAAAATCAACGTTTTGGAGTTTAAAGTATTTTAATGAGGTATGGGAACCACTATATCACTCGCCTTAAAGTATGCTTCTTGGGCACTGATGAATATTGCGTATATCTCAGATTTGCGTGTCTCAGACTACAGGTTGAGTAACAGTGATGTTGAGTAACAGATGACATCTTGGGTTCTCCTGTAGCCATATTTTAATGAAATCAGAGATACTTAGTAATGTTTCCTACCTACATGTTCACTGTTTAACCTAGTTCTGAGATTCTTTGGAATGGAAGGTACTTACCATACTGTTTACATTTTAGACTATATTATTGTTGTTGTTATTAATTTATTATTTCTTATCGATTAGACAAACTTCTCATTTGTTGCCCCCTTGTTCTTCTTTTGCCACCCAAATTAAGTAGAAGTATTACCTTTAATGATTCAGAAACAATAGATGCAGTATTGACCAGGGGCCAGTCCATTAAGGTTTTTTTAATTTATTGATATTTTCCTACCTTTGGTCTTCGCTTGTAAGTGAATAATCAACTGACTTCTACCTTACAAAATATTTCAGTAGAATGGTGCCATTTGCAACAGGAGTTTCAGGCCAGAGAGGAAGGTACTCAACACCCAGAATCATT